AGGTATACGTGTAAATCATACTTATAAGTACATAATTTTGAAGTATATTAATCACGTACACGCGACTAATTAGTCAGACTACTAAATTCTGACGTGTATGGTAGGAGACAGTTCTTAAGAAACTCGAGCAAATGCTAAAACAAAAGCAATATAATATAGGTATTATTTATAAATTATAACCAAGAGCGAAAATAAGTAGGACAAAAGAAAATTGTTGTTGTATCCGAGTAAAATGGTTAAGTTTAGACCATTTTTCCGTAGCATGAGTTTTTAAACAGCATATATATATATATATACGAAGCATACACATTGATATACTTAACACTTTAAATTTAAACACAATTTCTCTACCAGTCCGCATGGTAGTATATATAGTATTGAAGACCGTCGTAATTGGCGATTTGTAGAATAATGTATTAAAAATCGAGAAATATGTGGACTCTCAAGATTGTATCCATAAAAATAATTTTAAAAAGCTTATTAAAATCGTAGAACACAATTAGGCACGTATAGAAACGATGTTTGACTTGACAACTGGACTAAGAAATGAAGATAAGTCGTATATATAATTAACAAAACACACATGGTACACACGCGTACATAATATAAAATATTATTATAACCGTTACGCGTGTCAAAGTGTGTAGATATTCAAGCAACGAAGTACGCACAGTATATACGGTATTATAGTATAAATATATATATATATGTTTTTTTTATGACTGCGCAATAATCATAAGTACGCCAGTGGCGAAACCAGAATTTTTTTAATGAGGAGAGTTCCATCCTTCATCTGATCTTTGATGTGTACGAAAAGTTCTTCGAGATTTGAGTTATAATATTATGTAATAATACGAAACTATAAAAAAAAACATTTTTAGTTGATAATATATAATTTATCGATATCATATTATATAGTTGATTAAGTAAATATGCTTAATAAAATCATTTTATACTTCAAAAGAAGTGGAGGTGAGGATTCGCCTAAATTTATTTTATACTATATACAGTTGTATACACACAACAATGGTTGTATTTAAGGGGGAGAATAGGTGGCCCCGGTTGGCTAATTTAGAGTGGGCGACTATTATTTTTAAAATTGTCATTGATTTAATCCTCGAGCCATTTCATTGTGCTTAATGTCTATAATTCAAATATTTTTATGCATTGTAATTTGTTATGCCACAATTTATATTGATTTTTTTAGCAGTATTAAACAACAAAAGTGATCTGACCGCCACAATTATAATAATGTAATCAAAGAATTTCCTGAGTCACAAAAATACAGGAAGAACATTTCTTATTTCCTAATAGCGGACCATTTCTAAATACATCCCTGCAACGCGTTCGTCCTCACACAGCCACACAGGAACACAATTCTCATAAAGTATACAGCTATTAGAGCTATTATTATTAAACCTTCTCTTATGATACATACAACGCATATTATAATAATAAAATATTATTATATGTAGAATCACGTAGGCCACACAATTATATAAGTAATAAAAAATATAATAAAGAAGGAGGAATTGTAAAAAAGAGTCGGCCAAGCAGCAGCCACATATACCGGGTGATCCATTTAATGTAAGATACCCATACAATATTTAAAGTTTTTAAAATTATTTAATTTAATTTTTTACTTAATGATAACATAAGTACATTGTTAGTTATATATTCCGAAGAATAATGTTGTTCAGAGTACTTCGATACAGGTTTTATTGGAGTACCTACTTACTTCGAACAGCAGTACCCCGAACAATTTTGATCCACTACTAGGCCCAACTAAACTTCAAACACTTATAAAGTTATAACTAATAACCTACTTGTCTGAAATTTGATATTTATTGATCGCAATATTCTGAACAAAATTTTGCTAAAGAATATAAAATTAAAAATGTCTATGTTGTCATTCAAAAGATTACAAACTTAGAAAACGATAAAGATAATCAAACAGTAATAAATATAATTTTTTCTCGAGAATATAGTTTTTTAACTATTGGAATTATGTAAAAGAAAAATGTTAAAAAAAGTTAGTGTTTTCTGATACAACGAGTGTCTTGCTTCAAATGGATCACTCCGTATATAAACGTATGGGTAAGTCGGGCCAGCTAGGTACCTGACCTACCTCACCTCATCTGAGCCGTTTCGACGACTTTTTGTATTTTATTTATAAGCACACCGCACGCCGCTGGGTCGTGGACCTCAAAAGAGCGCTTACAAATACACATATATACACAGAGAGAAAAGCGCGCGCGACATTGCCGGGGCTCAGGGACAAGGAAATCGACCTTGCCCCAGGTTAAGGACGCCGCCGGCGCGGCATTGTGTTCGATTTCCCCTTTGCGCGACGCGGACGTTAAGTACCGCGTGTGTTGCACATAACGTGGTGTGCATAGAACGTATGATCAAATAAAAAATAAAAATACGATCGTCGACTGGCGGGGCAGTGCAGTACCGGTAATGAGGATTTAGAGCGACCCCTCGTTGCAATATAATAGGTACACATATATGTGCATATAATCATGCACACTGCGGTGCAGATCGTTTTTTACCCTTCGTTATTTTGGTTCAGTTTTTAAGCCGACTCAACACTCTCCTACCACGCGGTGACGTATTGCTGTGCACGCGACGTTTGACAGCGAAACGAGTGCGGTAAAACGGCCGCTTAAATTGAAATAAGTATATTGTATACTGTCGACAACGAATGATCCTAATATAAACGTAGAACAAACTTCGTAAACTAATGTATATTATTGTATTATTTAATAATAATTGGTCTTATAGTAACTCTTAGTATCGACCTATATGTTCCAGCTGCAGTATGCTAACGCGCGGTCAACCGTTGCACCCCTATCCCCACAATTTTACCCAACAATCATATAAGATAACAGTACCAGCATATTATGCCTGAGTACGTTTGGATCTTGGGTGTATTAATATTTAATATACAGTATTTAATAGCACTAATAAAAACGGTTGTGTCATGAATCCTGATCAATCCCTTATGACATAATAGGATACACAATGTATATTATATATATAAGATGGGCATTTTAACTGAAAATCAAAACAATAAATCAATAGAGTTAAGATAGCGAACTATCAAATACAAGTATAATCCGTAAATCAAAACAATTTTTTAAAAGTTATTCAAATATTAATAATTTTATAACATTACGATTAATGACTTCATGTACAATAATGACTGATGAGTAATGAGTATAATGACAAAGAGTGCAGATTTTCTTGTGATAAGAGAGCTGAGAGCATACTAGTTTTAAACATTGAAGTTAAGAAAATAAAAGTTCACTACAATATGATTATTAATTTTAATTCGTTTTTGGTGCATGGTATTGACAAGTATTTTTTATATATATTTATAGTATAATAAAGGGGGAGCTGTGCTTATGCATCGTACGCACATGTATCAACCAGGCAGTGGCGTATATACGAATTATTTTCACTATGGGCCGATTTATCAATTATCACTAGTCAAGCAGCATAGCCATAATTATACATTTTTAAGGGAGCAGCTGTTATATAATTAAGAATTATGACGTATTATACAGTTCAAATAAAAATTGCGCAATTCAATTTTATAATTATTATGTAAAATTAATTTTTTGTTTCTTTTTTTAAAAATATTGACAGTGTCGTTTGTATATTTTAATGTTATCTTACTATGAATTTAACATCAAAGTCAATAAGCCATTAAAGCAAGTCCCGTCAATATATCTAACATTTCCTTGTAGATTACTCAAAAATGATTTTAATCAACCAGCTAACTTAATCATGGTGAAAAACTGTTAACAGTGTAAATATACATGCAATGCTTTAATTGAACCTGCAATTTCACTATGGGCTCTGGCCTAGAGGGCCTCCCCCCTATATACGCCACTGCAACCAGGGGCTGATATTATTTAATAATTAGTAACCAACCAATAACTGTGTAAATTATGAAGCTTTCATGGTTTTGTATCATGAAATATCAAAAAATTAAGCAGTCATATGGATAAACAGAAATAAAAACAAGTTTGCGGATTGGTATAATCCTTATCGTGGAAAGGTCGATGTTTGGAGAGATGGACTGCTATGATGGTATACAGATCGGTCAAATCGATCCATCCTTTTTCAAAGAAAAACCAAATGTACCCAACAGTCATAACAGTACCCACATCATATAGTGAAAATCATGATGATGAAGTCACAAAAAAACTATGAAAGCGAATTCAAGGTCCCAGCTGAATGTTTGTATTATGCTTCCGATATTCAGGCTCCACTGCTCTACAATAATAGAACGAAGGCAGTTCATTTTTCCAAAACGAGATGCTCAAACAATTGAACCTACATAATATTTATACCTGATAAAAAATTAATATAAAATTGGAACGATAAATTATTCATATAGTGATAAATGAGAGCGCATAAAATGCTCATAAATATACGAAATGTTAACTTTATCTTACAGTTAATGATAAAAAAATTAAAAACCACTTTGTTAATCCTATTGCAGATTTCTAGATTTTTAGAGCTCAAACTCAATACATTGGACCTTTATGGAGTGACAACAATTGCGTCACATGATGTAATGGTTACAGAGAAATTGTATGTACAAAAAATGTATGATGAAAAGACTTTTTAGAAGATATGAAAACAGTACTTTTTGTGTCTGGTGCATAAACCTATTTTTTTATGATTGTAAATCAAAAGTAACCCCGTTACATCACACGTTAGACCGGTACCTAGGTTTTTCCAGCTCAGGAATATCGAGAGATCTATATATACATTATACAGTCTTACATGTACACAAATAAATAATTAATAAATATAAAGTAATAATAAGGTAAATATATAACCACGTTTTTCGAAAACTGAGTTTGGCTGTTCATCGAAGAAAAAAAACAGGGAAACTGACAGCCAAGAGTTCACTTGCACCAGTGTATACTTACGTGTGTACGGTGTTATAGTATACATGCAGTAATGAAATGCAAATAATATATTATATAATAATGGTTTTATTATCATAATGGTATAATGGTTTCAAGTAACTTATAATTAATATGAATTATACTCAAGAGTGTAAAAGAATACCGAACAAGATGATAACCATGCGCGTCACAAACATACATGAAAACGGCGCGCTACTTCATTAATTCTTATATCTAAATGCGTATGTATATTTATTATTACATATTATTTAAACCATTAAAATGTAACTTGAAAAAAATTGGGAGCCTAAATTGGTGGGAGGGGAAAGTGGGGTGGGATTACATGAAAATTGTTTAAATGTGTACACAATTCTGCAGTGGTACATGGATAAGAAAAATATACGAACGAGGCGCTAAGTTGTGTGGGTAACGTTAATCATCGGCGCCGCGTCCGCCGATAGAAAATATATAATATTGTACACTTTATATACTAAGAGCCGCGAGGAACTCTGATCATTCGATGTCTGACGACGTCATGCCGGTCGACTTGTCGTTGCTTTTGCCGCTACCGCAATCGTCCATCCGGCTGCTGTGCAACAACTGACTCATGACGTCGGCCAGCCGCTTGGTCTGCGATGCGTTTTCCTTCATCAGCTTCTCCATCCTGGTGAAGTGCCGGTCGTGCATGGACAACGTGTCCCGGTGTACGCGGACCATCTGTTCCAGTATCTGTTCCAGCACGTCCGGTTGCTGGACGTGATGATGCCGTCGGGACGACGACAAACCGACGCCTCCACCGCCGTTGCCACCGCCGCCACCACCGCTAGTGGTCGAGCACATTGTCAGCGGGTCCACTTTGAACCGCTTGGACACGTGCCCGGAACTGTTGACCACGTAACAGTGGTCGTCATTCGTGCCGTCCATATCGTCCATATCGTCCAGTGCCGCGTCCGAGTCGTTCATGTGATGGTTCTGCATGCCGCTGACGTTCGACGCGTCTGGGTCGGCCATGTCTTCGCCGATCACCACAGTTTGCGTGTATGTGGCGGCGTTTGCGTACTTCTTCTTCCGCTTGAGAATGTCGTGTAGTGCCTCGAAGTACGGGGGTGGTTTTTTGGGGGCCGAACTGTTCGGGTCTGTCGAGCTAATTAAGTAGTTCCGGTACGACTTCTCCAGGTTGCGCCACTTCTGGTGGCACTTAATGCCACCTTCGTTAACTGAGTCCGCGATTCTGTACCCTTTCGACATTAGTTCCTCGCATATTCGCTTCCACACCCGAATCTTGACCGTGCATTGGTCGTTGAACATATCTTGGTATTTTTTAGAGGCCACTAATCCCAGCATCTCCCTGGTCGCTTCGATATCCTTCTGGCATGGCGTCCTCATGCTCCATAGTAGTTGATCGGTGTCTGTAATACAGTGATGCACAGATTTCGTATGGTAGGTAGGTAACGCATTAGCGTTAAGGCTAATGCGTCTTTTATTTAATCTATTTTTTTAGGGGGGGGGGGCTATAAAACCGCGTATTATAAATACCGCATGATTCTTTTAACGAGCAACACTAACTATTTCAAAAACTATTAATATTTATAAAAACTTTTTTGTTCAAAGGTATAGTCGTCACAACATTTTACTTTAAAAAAAATGTATTTTTTAAATATTTTCATTATATTAATGTTATCATTTATTTAATTTTTACTTTTTACTTTTTTAATGACAGTATACATTTTTAATAAGCAGAATATTTTACGGGGTACTTCGGTGTTTAAAATAGTATTTCGAACAAGTATAATAGGGTGGTTACCAGTATTCCAGAATCGAAATTCCCGAATGAACTTTTTTCCGAAAGTAAGTTAACTCAAAACCTTTTTTCCCGAACACCTTTTACCCGAATCGATAAATTATAATGCCTTTAAAAAATAAAAATGATAATAATAATAACATAATAAATACTGTAGTGTTATAATTAAATATTTTAAAATCAATATATAAAGTGCGGTAAAGGCAAAATACCCGTACTTTTTCGTAAATACTATCTTAATCGCACGGAAAAAATAATTATTGGTAGATTAGAATGAATAGCAATAGCTGTAAATATGTTGGATAAAAAGTACGCCACTGTAGTTCCTCACAATAATTAAATTTTTAAAACTTTTTATTTCGAGAACAGGGAAAGGAGTTCGGAAAAAAAAGGTTTCCGGTTTCGGACTTTCAGGCAAAATACAATTCGGGAATTTCGATTCGGGAAAAACGGCGGGTACCATAATATGCAGCGCAGAAATTATAAATATTTTAAGTTTTGATGAGCAGAGGATCGAGAGGTCAGAGGTACCTACCCTGCAAAATATTGGTTCACTACATCACTCATCGAAACTTTAAATATTTGGAATTCTTTTTTTCAAGTATTATTTTGTAACGATCTAAAATTACGTAAAAACAATTTTTTTAAAACAATAGTAGTTTTTGAAATTATGAATGTTCTTAGATAAAGACATAAAGTATAATATTATATATATATATATTGTACATACCGGATGTCTCCTCCACCCCGTCAGTGAAAAATGATTTTGGAAAACTATTACTGGGCGTCAGAGGGCCTAAACTCGAAACAGAAAAATTGTAAAAATGTTTTTGAGCTTATTAAAAATTTGAGATAACGATATTATGTTTGAGTCAATATTTTAAAATTTTGTGTTTAGATATTAGCAGATGAGTAGTATAATATTATTTAGCAGTAGGCGACCGGGTGGTACGAGATACCCTGTATATTTAGTGGTGGATAGCATTTAATAATATATCCACAGACCTTATGCTAATAGACCGGTATTGCATATAGTGTAGCTGTAGTAAACATACAACAGTGATAAAAGGCATTGATAACACACGAAGTATAATATTATAGCTCAGTCACAAGTTACACACAAAAAGTGCCATTTATCTCTGACTGCTCTCAGTAAACAATAAAGCCCGGCCTATTAGGTATTATAAGATTTATGAATATAACATAATAAATTATCCGTTTCATGATGCAATGAAGTACCTAGTTTACGGATGAAATCATTATTATACATAAAATACAACTATCATTGCGAAATGTGATCTTGGTATAGCATTAACTACCAATCTTGAATAAGTAAGAACATAGAACGAAAGAAATGGTACGACCGAAATTTTAAATTTTAAATATTTGTTCAATTACCTATATAATATGTTTTTATCTATAGTAAAACAAGCACGTACCACCTTATTATCAAATTAAATTTACTTTTTATCATTAAAATAGTGTTTACTTAAAAATGGTATTATAAATTTAACATGTACTGAATACTGGTGTGTGAATGTCTGTATAGTAAAAACAAATTATATAATACCATTAAAAAAGTTGTATGGCTCATTAAATGTATATATTACTATTGCACGTTTTACAATCAAATGATGACTATATAAATAAACAAAAAATAATGGAGTTAAAAACAACAATAATATGTGATAAAATTATGAAATAAAATAAAATCTCGAAAACATTATTAGTTGTTTACAAATGCATTATACCTGCTGGTTTATAAAATGGACACTCCAGTCGATGATTTCTGAATATTAAGAGGACGTAACACGGGCATTTATTGTCTTCGTCTTACAAGTGCACGACATAGCAAATTTACGCTCAGCAGATTACGTGTAGTTTCATTAGTTTAAAAATTATAGTGAATCGACCTAGCTGTTGTAAAACTTGATGGTAAGAACATTATCTGTGTTTCTATATTTATTGTTTACGGTAATTCAATTTTGAAGTGAGTAACAAGAATTTTTAATTTACGCTATATTATGTAGGAATTACTTGCTAAAAAATTGAACTATCTTAAAAAACCGACATACAAACACGGATAATGTTTTCACCATCAAGTTCTAATAAGTACATTTTTAAAGTAACGGAGCTTCACGTGATTTGCTGAGCATAAATTTGCTATGTTACGCACTTGTAAGATGGATACAACAAATGCCAGGGTTACATCATCTTATAGAGACAAATTTATATCTAATATTAAAATGTTCAAAACCAAAACCAAACAAAAACATTCATTTGGACAATTACACATATTTTTATTAAGTATACCTCTGTAAACTGTATAATTAATTATAAATTTAAATTAATACGATTTGACTTGAAATTCAAGGTTATGGCACTTCATAAAGAGTACAACGCGTGCACCTTAATTTTTATAAAATAATTATTTATATGTACTTGTTAAGATAGGTCAGTGGTGGAGTGCAATTGATGTCATTTGAAAAAAACATTAATTATTGTTTTGAAAGAATAAAAACATCGATTTATGTCATAATTTGAATGTTAGTAGTTATACATAAAAAGACTATAGAACAATTAACAAAATTGACTTGAAAAAATTGAGAATATTTTCCAAATTAATTTCCAATCGAAATACATTGAATATAAACATTAATTATGAACAAGTTTGAATTATGAAGTTCCTCGATCAACTATATGATAGGAATTTGCATTTTTCATAATGATAAGTCATCAATGATCGTCAATAATAATAATATTAAGACATTAAGAAACTAGACCTTCAGTTGGACGTCAACAACAGATTTACGATCGTGAATAGTGGAACAGCGGGTAAGTAGATGGGGAATCCACAAAAACTTATTACCCAGATCGCATAATATACTTTTTTTACAAATCACATTATGAAACGGATAAACGATTAAATACCTATATATTATAATAATATAGGAAATATTTACCTGTCAAGACTTGGACGATTGGTTTCATATCACGGTCAGGCGAATCTTTTGGTGACCCGGGGGGTGACCCGTAACTCCCATGATACCCAAAACCAAAGATTTCCAATACATCCTCTGAGTTAGGAACAGCTATACACTTTCCGCCTAAAATTGTTGGTTGTATAATTTTTCTTTAGACAGTTTGATGTGAAAAATAAAATGTTTTATTTAAACAAAAAACTTCGAAGAGTGTATACCAACTGTATATAATGTATACATACACTTCTCGAAGAAGTTTCTTTTTAAACGATACTCACTTTCGTTGTCCAACACAATAAGGTCGCCATTTTCATTTAAAACTGGTTGTTTCTGGTCATCAACGGCAATACTATGGTTATCAGGATTAATCCATTGATATTTTTCCATCTTAATGGGAGTCATTGATTCAATTTATATTACTTAGGTATTTTTATAACTTAACTATACGTAATATTTTTTACCTGCCAAATTATAAATGTGAATAATTATACAAAATATATAATAAATGATAAGACTTTCATTGAAATAAAATTGTGTGAGTAAATATGTAATTGTCATAATTATATTCAACTATAACAAAAAATAAAATAAAAAACAGTTATAGGTTCTTATAAATTATTATATTCAATAAATAAATAGTTAAAATTGTTTATCTGAATATTCTTTTATACAATACAATTTTATTATTATAATGGTTTAAGTATCTGGCAATATGAGTAACTTTTCTTATAATTTATACATCTGTAAAAAACATATCATTTCTGATACTTATCTATTTGATGTTAATATCACATGTCACATATTTTTTCTATCATTAAAATATCTTTAAATATTCAATATTTAAAAAGTGATAACACTGTATTACAATAAAAACAACCAAATTTTAAGTAAATACAATATTTTTGTTATAGGAATGGTGACGCATAATCCACTATCCAGTACTAAACGAATTCATTACAATAAGTACTGTTTCTTAAAAGATTGCACATATCTTTTAAGTTTGATTCATATTTCGTATTAGTTAATAGTTATTAACATTTATATAACAACACAAAAATTTGGTTCGGTGAAATACCAATATTTGTCGCAACTTACGACATAAATATACCTATGTATTAATATTTAATACACAACTTTTATGTCTTTCTGTATCAGACAATATTGCAGATTTACATATTCGTGTTAGCAGGTTACAACGTCCAATGATAAAGTTTATTCTGTCAATAAATTACAAATAAGTTATTTTCAAAGCTTACGAGCGTATATACAGACGGCCGATGAAGTGTAAAAAGGAAAAAAATGAAAATAAATCATAGCATTTTAGAAGAGCGATTTATGAATTAAGATCGGTGTTGAAGGCATCGAGGTGATGTACGATCGTCGTTCAATAATATACTCAAGCATTAATAATTGTAAACCTAAATAAATAACTAAACGTAAGGATGTATGGACTTATTCGGTGTAATAAAATATATGAATTAATACAACTATAATCCTGCGGCGAATAACTAAGGCAATACATATTAAATATATTTTATACGTTTATTTCTGAATATAACATATGTGAGCGGTTGTAAGTCGAGTTGTAGATGCAGTATTATTATTTTTTTTTTAACATGAATGTTACGTAGAATGAACACGGAAATCCGATACACACTGTGTGGTTTTTTAACGGTACGGTGAATGCATGTTGTAAGACGATTACTATATACACCAGTATACTAGAAACGACGAGAGAGTGTGTGTGAGAGAGAGAGAGAAAGACGAGAAACGATAGCGGTGACGGTGGCCTTGGTCTAGACCCTCCGTACAACATCTTTATGGTCCATTGCACAAGACGACCGAAATGGCACAGTGCACACAACGTACACACATAGGTACGAGTACACACAGTTTGAAAAAGTTGGGCGTTGCATCGACCTCCTCCGTTTGTTGCACAAACGCACGCACACGCACACACCCACACATGTACACGCGATGCAACGTTGGCAGTTTAACCAGACCCAAGGCCGGAACGAGGAAGATGAGTGCGGGGGCAGTAGCTATTGCATGACATCGATGCCGCTGCACTGCACAAGTTCACGTCACAAGCACTGTCATAATGTCTTTAGGTTAGAGAGATAGAGATAGAGAGAGAGAGAGAGAGAGAGAGAGAGAGAGAGACCACTAAACCTTTATTGTGTATAGTATAAATACATAATACTATATACATAAACTCGTTACTAACAACAATCACAGCACTGGTAAAAACATTAAAGACAAACACACGCATGCACGTAATTATAATAAAAATAGATATAGTAAGTGGGTGGTAAGAACTAAGAATTGCCGATTTTTGATTCACCTTAGCCTTTTTAGACAATCTTTTACAATATCACTGTAAAATGGATATATTGAAAAAAAGATACAATAACAAACAACGTTATGCAAAGACATTCTTCTCCTGCAGTGCAAGTACAACATCTGTATCATTCAATAGTATAATAATACACAATCCGATAAAGCAATGCATGATATTTAAAAAACAACAAAATTAAGTCATTGGATTGCCACTAAAGATGAATGTATTGAACTACTATCACCATTAGGTATTACAATAGTTCTTATTTAATTATTTAATTATTGACACGTCGAGGAAGATATACCTAAGTATGCTCTGCATACTATGTATAATAATTACAAAAACAAATGATCATGTATTTTCGTATGGTAAAAATAAACAAAATGTGGGTTCACGATTAAGATAATAAGTACCTAGTTAACTTTTATCATCATATTCAAAGATAAGAACATATTTTATAATCTATGTCATGTTTGTTTACATCCTAAACTAGGTATACGAAATACTTTCAACATTTTCATTATACTGCTTTGATGATATGAAAGGTAAATTTGCCAAGTTCATACAATATAATGATAAGACAGAAATATCAACATAATGTGTCACATATTATATACGTTTAGGGTGCTAATGCAAAGTTATTCCACATTCATAAAAATTACGTACATATTCCAACCTAATTGTATTATAAAAAACATAAAACGTTGCCGATTAAAAATAGAACCAGAATGAAGTATTATTTTAGTACTTAAATACCAACAGGCAGGCAGGTAGGCATTCGTGTGGCAGACGATCTACAACCAGATGCTAATCAATTACTTTAATATAATATGGACGACCTACCAGAAAATTCGAACACATACAACTTGATTATAATTATTAAGGGTTGTACAAATAAAAATGGATTAAAAAAAAATTATAAGATTATAATAATTGAGTACAATAAAATTTTTATATATAAATTAAAAATTTAATTATATTAAAAATGTTTTAAATTTAAATTAATATCAAAAAGATTACTGGGTCTCGCCGAGAACAACTCGTGTGGAGGATCAGGAAAAAAAATATATAGTATATTATATACAGTTATTAATTGATCTCCAGCATGCTTCTATAAGATGATGAAGCAGGGGTTCGGAAGTAGTAGTAGGTACTTACTATACATTTTTCGAAGTATTTTCATTTTGGGGCATGACCTAATGCATTCTATTATTGTCTGTGTGTTGGCACCTAAGGTGTATCGATCATGTTATTAGTGGTTTACAATTAAATGAGTATAGGGGTTTTGGTTTGAAAAATCTTATATGGTTGAAACAAAACTGATACAATTGTTGGGAATAGTTTGTTCTAATCAATCGAATAAGGATTGGCCTAACTTTAAATATGACAACAAAAAACCGTTTTTTAACGACTCTCTCATGCTGAAAACAAATCCCAAAAACTCTAAGATTCGTATAGTCCTCACCCGTAATTTCTTTTAATGTTTTAGGGAGGAATATTTTAGCAATCTGCAGAGTTAGAGTTTCCGCTGTTGGATAAATTAGTACTGCTATGGTTACCCAATAAAATTATATGCATTTATTTTATCTAAATTTTTCTCGTAGCTATGTGTACATGCGTCTCATGGATTTTAATTTATTTATTTAATCCACTCATACGTTTAACATACACATAAAATTAAAAGGTTGCTACAATTACAATTAAAAGGAAAATCAAATTCACTACCTGTTATACAAAGTAATATTAATAAACACTGGAATAAACATTATGACCACTAACCACAAACCCATACACACAAAACATAATGCATAAATAAATAATAAAAATCCAATTTTTCAAAAAGTTATTTCATATAAAGAATCACGAAAGTCAATAAAATATTAATGCACGTTACAGTGAATAATAAAAATAGGTAAATGGATTATTTTTTTTAACAATTCAAGAAATTTTATGTTGGAATAACAAAACAATCTTGAATTCACATTAAATATCTATAACACCTATAACATCAATGTTATTAGAAAATTCTTCAATTTTGCCATTTGTTTCAATCAAGATAATCAGTTACTTAAACCAACACAAAGTAAAACTAACATTGAAAGTAGTTTTAAGTAAGGATCGCGTATATAAGCATTTGTCAGACGTCACAGTAATTTTAGTATTCGTATTGGTATTCATTTAAAAAAATCACTAAGCATATATACAACCACTTAATAGAATTTTTATTCGCGTATAATGATTAATGAACTTAAAATATCTATACACACAGACATGTTATCTATGATAGTTATCAACTAGTTTTAAAAATAATAATCTTAAACAGGAAAGTTAACTCTTCACAGCTTAACAACAAGAACAATATAATAATAATATAGCTAGAAACAAATAAAATAATATTTCAATCACATTTTTTTCAAGTATTGATCCGTAAAAACTTGATTTACCCAGTGTAATATATTAATAAGGATTAAATGATGCAATGATTTAATAAATAGTTATTTTCCATTAAAAAAAAAAACATGTTGACTTAAATGTAATTTGAAGTAAATTTTTACTTACCACAAGTGTTGTTAATTTTAATTATGTACCTATATTGATTTATGGATATTTTATGATGATTAAAACATACCTGCAACAAACAAATACAACTAATTAGTTATGAATAAAATAAAAGAATACAAGTGATATGCATGTTAATAATATAGATAAACTAAAAGAAAAATAAACATGTTTGGATATTGCGTGAGGGAGTTTAATTAAAAAGCACTACAATTATACTTATTTTTTTTGCAATGTACAAAATATTAACTTTAAAATGCTAATGTTGCAATAATTTACAGGAGCTATGAAAATTGGCTCCACGATAATTTGTGTAAATTTCCAAAGCGGTATATTGAGTCCCGGGTATAAAAAGGTAGTAGGTAAGTTGGGTCCCTGCAAAATAAACTGCGCAAGGTGATTCCAAACATGCTCACCCCCTTGTTTTCTTTATTAATGCAGTTATCGCAAATCTGATTTTTTTGAATTTTTGAATTTATTTTAAAATCATATTTTCAAATTCTTGAATTTCTTTGTACTACTTCAGAAGTGTCCTGTAGAGATACAAACTTCTGCTTTTCAAATGTGAAAACAACTATTCAACTATAAATTATACAGTAGAACATTTTTCTGAAATTTTCAAAATCAAAATTCGTACTGGTAGTTTTGAGTTATTTAACTTAGTGTTCTAAGGATAAAAGGTCCATAATTATGAGTTTATAAGATATGGAGGCTATGGTGATTTGAAAATTATAGTCATCAATCGATATTAATAATTTGTAAAAATGGCCTAAGTATAATAAATATAGTAGATTCAATTTTAAGTTCATTTTATTTTTTGTAAAACCAGTTTTAAGGATAATTACAAACATCTTAATGACTAAGAAATTACTCATTCCAATTTTGAATGTGGTACATAAAAATTTTCAAAAAAATTATTAGCTTATTAATTTACAGTAAAAAAGGGGGTTCTCATTTGGAAAACAGAATATTGTATTACCACAGGACATTCTTTAAGTAGTACAAAAGAATTCAAGAATTCGAAAATATGGTCTTTCCGGGATCCAATTTACCAATCCCAAATTTAGCATCCATTAAATATTTCAAAATCCAGTCACGTCAACAAGAACGTACAAAAAATTGTATTGTGTTTTTGCTGTTCTTTGATTTGTGTCAAAATTTGAATGTAGAAATAGTAAGTACTGGAATTTAATTATACTTAGATAAGTCGTTGGAAATGATTATAATTTTGGTCTTGGTTAGTTAATTTTGTTTTATAGAGCAGAGAAATATTTAGGTTATGACTGATTTTATAATCCAATTCAGTATGAAAAATACAACATTATTGACACTATATGCATGTACATTGTACATACTGATAAAGAACCTATTTTTAGAATTTGTACCTAACTTCAATTAAATAGTTAAATGCTACCTAGCTAGTTTAAAATTTGAACATATCAATGTCATTTGATATCATTACAATATATATATGTTTACATAATCAAGAAAAATGTATATCCGCTAACGGGATGTAATAATCTCCACACTTATAATAATACTGAAGAGTTCAGATAACACCTATCAAAAAAAAAAATCGTATCAGATGAGCAGTACAAACGTTGATATTATAAATTGTAGAACTGCAATCTTAGCCATAGTAATATTATTTTCATGACAGCCCTAAGTTACAATTGATCAAGTGAGATAAATAAATAATTTAATTAAATATTTAAACTAATTAAAAAACAATTCTCTGCTAAATGGGCACAAATTCTAAATTCTTAATTCAAAATAAGTTATTTATAATTATTTCATTTTTCTTATATTTTTTATGATTAATTAAGACTTTAGAGTTTGTCGCAATAATAGGTACATAGAATTACATATTCCAAATATTAATGGTGGATAAGATTTTTAGTCATCAATTATTTTTAGATTTGTATAATAAACCAACTACCGTAGCCTAAATTAATGCAAACGCCTAATTATTATGAAAATATTTTACACTTTAATGAGGACAAGCGATTTGTATTATAATATTATGACGTGATGTAACAATAAAGAATTAAAAATAAATTTTAAAATTAACTACCAAATACCTATACAATAGAATACAGGTAAAATACTTATATTATGTAAAAACTATCTGAATTAGAGGCTTCACCGTGTGTAGTTTTTTTTTTAGGCATATCCTATATAGTATATTATATAGATATGCTTAATAATAGGTGTATATCGGTTCAGTGCATTAAAAGCTTAGTGAAATAATTCGACCTAGATGAACAACCGCACGGTAATCACGGAATATTTTTGAACGTGGTTTACTACTTAATCTTTTAACTTTTTTTATACCTCTAAAAACAATTTTTGTCAACATCAATCGAGTAGTTTTTGATAATATAAGCTTCAAATATATTTGATTTTAAGATATAGTTTCTTTAATCGAGGCCATGTCAACGTGACGATTTGATGCTTGCTTGTACCTGATTTACACGAGTAACCAATGGTAACTTTTATATAAAAATATATAAATATATATATAAAAAAAATAAAAATAAGTACTATTTTTTACTATTACTATTATAATCTGCAACCGACGGCAACCATTTATAAAGAAAAAAGTTTCGATTTCTACCGTTAATCTCAGAATCCTTGATTATGGCCTCTTTAAAATTCTTTCTTAGTGGATCCTTACATCATAAAACGAAACTATTGTCCATTGACCAAAATTCTTACTCATCGATTTGACGTTCCGGCTAGGCGACGATGAATCAATCAGTCAGTCAGTCAGTCAAGACAAGTCCTTTATATATGCAGAGTGTGACAAAAATATATGACAAATATCATATACCTATATCATATATCGGATATGTCATATCTTTCTGTTACACCGTGTATATAAATATGATTGACAAAACTTCATCAATAAAGGTATATTTTTAAAGCTATATTATCTTCAGACGATAATAATTAAAATAACATTAATGGATTCATTGACATTGAAATTCAACAAGTATTATTTTACATTTAATATTGTATAACTACCTAATTAAATTGATTACATGCTAATATATTTTACTGAACGACAATCGAACAATTAGTTATAAACACAGCTGTTGAAAGACAACACAGAATAGGTGTACCTATGGAATAGTAAGGTTTTATCAAACTATAATGGGACGAAAATTAAAAAAAAAATACAGTTTAATTATAAGTATTGAAAGACAATTACGTCAGTTTTAAACGATTTCTTCGAAGACGTAATCCTCGGTCAAAGTGGCAAGATTTAATTATTGTAATGTTTGTTTCAAGCATATAACTATATGCGTTGACTTTTTTCACATTTTTTTCAAATTATTAATTTAATCATATTTTGAATATTGCGTAGGTACAAATGAAGACTAGTACACCACTAAGTAGTCAATGCAGACGTGTGCTCTTGTTGCGGGGTTCGATGTTCGAAATATAAGCAAGTTTCGATAATTCGATTTAAAGATCAATAAATTGTTAACAAATCAACACGTCAGCGATAGAACGAAACGATAAATAATCGTAATAATAATATTGCTGGGTTTTATAAATCATTATAAATCTCAATGCGATAACATTATTTAATATTCGATTTATATAGTTATTTGTAATAAACGACAATATTATTATTATAGGTATAATATTTACAGCGACGGGTCTACGGAGGATAACACATTAACACGTGATGGTAAGCGGGGAGGGGATGAGGTCAGAGACGGGGCATTCGGCTCATGAGCGCATCATTCAATCACGTAATAACAACGGCAATAATTACAACTTAACATAAGTATAATATAATTTAATACAAATATATTGCATTTAATACTACACCACAACGCGTAGAACAGCATTATATAATAAAATCATTAATCGGTTGTCTATGTCTACACTCGTTTGTGTATCCCGCGCAAAACCAAGCGTTATTGGCACATGTGCGTTTCATACAACGTGTGTATGCGCAGACAGACGTCGTCAGCGGCGGCAACGGCCAAATGTGTTAAAATTTAGTGTGTCATCACTGACCTGGGCCAACCCGTGCAGTTTTGCTCCTGTTGCTGTGCGCGCGCGAAATGCGTATTGTCGGCGGCGGCGGCGCTTGCGCTCTAATTCACAGCAGATGCTACTAAAAACGGCACAACCGCTGGCTGGCGTCGCAGTCACCGCCCCAAATAAAATCGAAGCGGAACGACGCAGTGGATCGTTTCACGCCACCCTTGCATAAGGGGACGGGAGGGGAGGAAGACCACAAGCCACCACCCCCCTCTGGTAGCCAAAAGCGTCATCGATCTTTTCGTCGTCGCCTTTTTAGTTGACGCCGCGCAGATACAACAATATATATACATAATAATAATATATTAGTTTATCCCGGTTTTATCGTCGTCTCCGTAGAATATATATTTTCTCCACGATATATAAATAAAATATAATACATATACCTATATATAATACATCACACAAACCCGCCCGACGGTCCAGAGTTGTATCACACCAATTAAATAACTACCCCCCCCCCCTTTTCCCCGAAATAACAACCAACAGTAGTGGTCGCCCGCGCAGCGAACAAATAAAAGCAATCAATGAGTTTTAGTAGCGGTCAACCACCGATCGATGGACGATAATAATATTATTATCAAAACGAAAAACTGCACATTGTTTACGATACAGGTTATCATTTTATATATTATTCAATTCAATAATAGTTGTGTCTGAATGCTGAAAGACAACCGAAACGTTATTATATAATACGTATATATTTTCTCGCCGCTACGTATTCAAATGAATCACATTGAACGGTGGTGTTATACTACTGGTAGAGGAGAGGGAATAGAAAACCACAAATGGCGTATAAAAATGTCCAGTGTTTAAAATTGCACTTGGCACATTAATATCTGAGGTTATAGGAAGAATTATTAACGGCTAACTTAATTTTGTCCAAGCTGCATGTGCTGTACTTTTCAACTAAAATATGACACATATGTGACTGTATGATATTATTATATTATTTTGTGCCAAACGCCTCCACCTATAATATTATTCTGTTTTTAATTTTAATCACTT